TAAAGAAATTCTAGTGAAAAACGCTAGGCTTCCCTGGGTCTTCTAGTTCTTGAAAATATCCCAGACCATACCCTAAGATTCCATAATCTTCAGAAAAAGAAATGAAGGATGCCATGGGCTTTGATACATGATGGAACTGCAGTTTTTAAAACTACACACCTGTGGTTGTGGGTGCGGCCGAAAAGGTGTCAGCCGGCAATCATATCAACTCACTTGAAGAAAACGACTGCTCCGGTATGCATTTGTAACATCGCAAAAAATTCTAGTTTGGCTCGTATTTTGGGAAAAAAGTCTTTAGATCAAATCTAGGGAGAAATTTCTGGTAATCGGACTACTTTAAGATTATGTTGGGTGGATGTACCATGTAAAAGATTGAAACATTCGTTTTAGCAGTCTCTTTTCGACTAACATTTGCTTGTGCAAATTTCCTATCATTTTTTCATGTATTTGTTATTAGTGAATTGGATATTTGCTGAAAACCAGGATCATCTTTAAATGATCGAATAGTTTTCGCTTGTCCTATCCTAAAGATAAAAAATTTGGGACAGCGACAGCTGTGCCAATTGGCCAGTTTTTTTTCGCTAGGATATGTTGACTAATGGTACGATTTGTTGGTGAAATAGAAATAAGGGCCGGCATTACCACTGAACGTGTATATTTTATTCTTCATCTACGTCTATTGTTCAAGCAGATTAGAGTTGGGCAACTTTTTGACAGTTGTAAGGAATATTTGAGTATGATTTCCTTTTACTTCTTTGGGAATTGTTACTGCTGTTTTTTTAACGCTTCTGCTCTTTATATGTATCTGCACAATACGATTAGATCCACAGCAAACTCTTCGGTGAGGTAGAAACTAGACTGGTCAGAACGGTCTTTACGAGGCGTGAAAAGATTTCCAACAAAATTTTTGGTTATTTCATAATACTCGAATTGGGACGTCAAGGCGAACAAAGGATTTTGCCATTATTTGATAATCTCCTGAATACAAAAAGATCGTCCATTTATGAGGCACTGACGAACCGTAAGAGCATCCTATAAACATCATGTCTTGTGATCTATTGGGACAGTCTCATCCTGTCTCCTAAGAGTGTAAATACATTCGAGGTTCGTGACTTGTAATAGCCTTGATCAAACAAAGTTGAAGTTATCAAGAATTTTTTTGGGTAGACAGAAACCTTGAAATTAATTCACGTAGCACATTCCGCTCCCATGATGTCAGACATTCGTGTTTTGTTGAGAATTGCATCCGAGTTATTTATTATTCTTAAATCTGACCTTCCATCTGTCAATTGTGAACTGTTGGTTAGATTGGAATTGAAAACTTACGTTGATCTCTATTAATACTTCAACCGTCGAAAGTTATGTCGTACTGGCGTAGATTTCCGTCTACGTTACGGCCATCTACCATATCTCCTCAAGTTCACAACATTGCCAACATGTCGCGACACCTGACGCGATATCCTCAACTAAGCCTGCACCCCACGCGATGTAATCAGTCTTTCGGGTCAATCACACTTTCCTTTCATCTCAACATTTAATCTCACTCATAGCGAATATGATATTCATTTGTGAGCTCTCATTTTTTGCTTGGATCCTCTTTTTTTCTTCAACCCATAACGCTCACCATCTACAGACTACACTATCCTGCGTTGTTCATTCTCAAATCTACTAAGTTCTAGGGTTCTAATACTAGGACAGCTTATTCCTTTCTCCTTTCCCTGAATGTTAATTATTCTTCTTAGGTAGAGACCTCTAAATTCATCCTACAATACATCGCTACACATAACGGAAGTGATTGTCAAGCAGAAAGGAAAC